TTCCTTTCCTTTCCTTGTTTCTCTCCTCCTCTCCTCTCCTCCTGTCTTCTTTCTCTTCCCTTCTCTTCCCTTCCCTTCTCTCTCTTTCTCTCCTCTGTGCCTTTCCTTTCCTTTCCTTTCCTTTCCTTCTTTCCTTTCCTTTCCTTGTTTCTCTCTTCCTCTTCTCTTCTCTCCTCTCCTCCTGTCTTCTTTCTCTTCCCTTTTCTTCCCTTCCCTTCTCTCTCCTTCTCTCTCTCTTCTCTTCTCTTCTCTTCTCTTCTCTTCTCTTCTCTTCTCTTCTCTTCTCTTCCTCTTCTCCTCTCTCCTCTCCTCCTGTCTTCTTTCTCTTCCCTTCTCTTTCCTTCCCTTCTCTCTCTTTCTCTCCTCTGTGCCTTTCCTTTCCTTTCCTTTCCTTTCCTTTCCTTTCCTTTCCTTTCCCTTCCCTTCCCTTCCCTTATTTTCCTTTCCTTTCCTTTCCTTTCCTTTCCTTTCCTTTCCTTTCCTTTCCTTTTCCTTTTCCTTTTCCTTTTCCTTTCCCAGAGAAATCAGCAATGATACTTTGCATTTACCCCACAGACAGGATTACGGATAAGTGCTAGTTCAGCTTCAGCAGTTAGTGCAAACCATAGTATACTTGTTCATTGGTCAGAGTAACTGTGGTTTATTATCAGGAATAACTCGCTGACTCTTAAGCTATGAGGAAAACCTAGGAACCATGTCAATACCAGGTTTCTTCCCATCTTTCTAAACCACTTCATAGTTTGGAAAGCTCATTGCATTACAAATGAAATTACTAGAAATCTCTATTTATTAAACTGGTCTTGTTTAATAAAAACAAACCAGCTCGGATTAAAACAGTAAATGAATACTTCATAATACCCAGACATGAAATCAATGAAATCAATAAACAACATTCTTAACATCCATGATGGAGCTGATTTTTTCCCCCCAGGAATATGTACACATTTTCCTTACAGAACAAACAAACATCAAGAAAATAAGTAAACAAAAAGAAGGGGGGGGAACAAACAGCCTCCCTGGAAGTAAAAAAAAAATGTTGTTGTTCCTAGTTCTTTTGTTTCTTTCTCTCCCTCCACCCTCCAGCTTATGTTTAAACAAAAAGCTTTAGACAATCTTTTTATATTTCAAAAACCTCAGTGAGCCTAATGCTGCCAAAATTAATAGAACATTCAATGCTTGAAGGGTGATTTTGCGAAACAAAATAGAAAAACCAAAACAAAACAAAAAAGCCACATATTTCTGCAGCTGATGATAGAACTTGGTTATTAATTATGTTTTTGCTCTGAAACTTCTGTTTTGTATATTTAAGCTGTTGCTGAGCTTTTAAATACTGCAGAAAAAAACAGTGCCAGTTTGATAATATACATTGGGGAGCTGAACCTCGGTCTTGTACCTTCCAAATGTATACAACCCTGATTCCCATCCTTAGGTCTTGTGAATTGGAGGTGATGGGAGCTGTAATCCAGCACATCCATTGGCAACCAAGTTTAGAAAACCTGATATTGTATTTAATATAAAAAAGAAAATCACTACTGAAAGATTAATCCAGTATTTTAGCACAACTCTTCTCCTAGTGCCACCTAGAGGCTTTTTAATTTTTATGTAACCTAGTCACTACTACATTTGCTGGTCACGTGTACAGATCTACATTCATATTTGAAATTCTATTCTATTCTTTTCTATTCTATTCTATGCTATTCTATTCCATTCCACTCCACTCCACCCCTTATTCTACTCTACTCTGCTCTACTCTGCTCTGCTCTATTCCTCTTCCCTTTTCTTTCTCTTTGATTTTTCTATTCACAAATTCCATACTTTGCTCATCCCTCATAAACTCTTTCTCATTCGTTCTTTCCCAGTTTTCCCTGTTGGTGCCTCTTATCTCTTTTAGCAATTTCCTTGCCTTCATTTCAATCACATACCTTCTGGTCCACTAGAATATGAGGTTTTAGTCTCTGCCAAATGAGCTGCCAATTCCTACAAAATTTTCCACTAATGATCAACATTTCTATGGATGCAACCTTTTTTGGGAATTGAATATTGATGCATCTTCTGGGCAGCTCAGCCAATAGAGAGGGCTTCCTAACAGACTAGCTTTTAAATCATGAAATAGTAGTAATTCAAAAAACAAAATGGAACTATGTAGGAACATATGTGCAGAAGGTTATGGGGGGAAAAGAAGTATAGTTCTTTCAAGGGTAGCCATGTTGGTAAACATCTGCCCTTCTTATCAATCAAATAATGGCAGACCTCTTCTGTCTCTTACCTTTGTTATTCCCAGTTTGAGCTGGTGTCCCTCAGGTGTCCAGTGCAATGCCATGGATGCTGACTTTAATGGTCGAAGGTAGAGTATGCCATAGCATCCAAGGGAGCTTCTGCATCTATCATTGCCATCTTTTTGTGTGATGTCTGTTGTCTCGTTGCATTCTCGATGTATCTGCTACTGGCTTGGGTGATGTGCTGTTTCGATTCAGTTTCTTTGTACTAAGTTTTTTACTTGGTGGGTTCCAGAATTTGGCTGCCTGGTATTTGTGGTCACCACATCCCAACCTTTCCTTATTACCCGAAATGGAGGACAGAGACTTGTTTAATGTCACCCTAAGCTTTACAAGGTCTCTGGCTGTAACGTAAATAGAATCTTCTACGTCACCAAATCGAAGAAGATGGCTGTCAGTTCTTCAGAGCAGGAAAAAACACCTCATGCCATACTGAGCTGAGTTTGGGCTGTCTGGAATGAACATAGGTTGCCAGGCAACTTGCCAAGACCATGGTGCACTATGGGAAGGTTTATCTTTATGGAGGGAGAAAAAAAATCCCTAGTTACCTGGAAGCCATTTTTGCTCACCATAGATGACCAAGTGATTAACTCCATTTCTTCCACTGTAATCTCTTTGTCAATAGCATGTTTTACTAGTCTCAGTCTGAAAACTGAGAAAGAAATATGCTTAGCAAAGCATGTGCATGTTCTTATTCTATCAAGTGTACACACTGAGCAAAACCGAAGTCCCACTTAACGTTGGGGGCTAGGCGTGGGAAACACTGGAGGTGGAATTATGTCCTGAGTAGTTAATGTAAAAAAATAATATTAGAGCAGGAAAAAGAACTATAATACATTCTATGAAGAGCCGTGGAGGTGCAGTGGTTAGAATTCAGTACTGCAGGCTACTTCTGCTGACTGCTGACTGCCAGCTGCCAGCAGTTCGACAATTTGAGTCTCACCGTCTCAAGGTTGACTCAGCCTTCCATCCTTCTGAGGTCAGTAAAATGAGGACCCAGATTGTTGGGGACAAGAAGCTGACTCTGTAAACCGCTTAGAGAGGGCTGTAAAGCACTATGAAGCAGTATATAAGTCTTAAGTGCTATTGCTATTGCTATATGAAGCTGAAAACAATTATTGCAAGAAAGTAAAAACCCAATGTATGAAAACTGAGAAGGTGTCGTAAATATGCATAGAATGACAACATAGAAGCAATGAAGGTTTTATGGCCGAGCATATTTTGACCATCTTATTTTTTGTGGCTGCTGTCTAACTAGCAGAAGAAAAACATTGCAGCATAGAAGTTCATCTTAATATGCTCAATGTCCGTGTGCAACTTTCTCCCAACTAGGGCAAGATGGCAACGATAAATTTTGTTGCTGAAAAGGTCCCAAGGGAGAATGAATTTTTAAATTGAAAACGAAAAGTCAGGGAGAATTAAGGAAAAAGGACTGCTTGGTGAAGTCTTATAATTAAACAAGTCCATAAATGCCAAAGTCCAGCCTTGGTATAAGGTTTCTGAAATGCTTTCCTTTTGAAAGAATTACTAAAGCAAAATCTCTTTCATTAAATTGAATGAGAAGGGTAAAACAAAATGCACGTGTTTCTCTGTTCAGCATTAACAAATACATTTTAGCAATTCTTGTATGAGAAACAACTTTCCTGAAAAATAGCTAACTCATACTAAAAGTACTAATAAAGCTCCTCTTGATCTTTCCTTTGCTTCATGAAGAAAAAGACCAAATTTATACTCAGTACAAAGTAGGACTCTTTATGAAAAGTCCTTGGGTCTGCATATATATGTGTGTGTGTGTGTGTGTGTGTATTTTAAAAAACAATAAATAGTTGATCACCAAGAGAATAAAGCATATAAAATTTAAAAAATTAAAATTTATTTACTAAACCACCAAGCTTTCGTCAAGAGCTCTTGACATCATCAGGGTATGCAAGCCATTGTTGGGAGTCGCCTATAGGAAAGAGTTACTACAGCGCGCTCAGCTGGGACCCATGACGCGCGCTATGAGCCGGATGCAGATGATCAGCGGCTGCATATAGGCGACTCCCAACAATGGCTTGCATACCCTGATGATGTCAAGAGCTCTTGACGAAAGCTTGGTGGTTTAGTAAATAAATTTTAAATTTTTAAATTTTATATGCTTTATTCTCTTGGTGATCAACTATTTATTGTTTTAACTGCAGTAACGTGCTAACATGCTAACTAACCAAGGAAACCAGGTAGATCAGCTTACAGCAAAAATAATATACAGCACAATATGACTTGAAAATCTCCTGCCAAGCTTGCTTAAGCCAACAAAGATTTTATAGACTGATTCATCAAGTACTGGGAGAAACCTAATTCCTGTCATTTGTCTTCAGTTACAGCTTAGAAGGACTGTCTGGAGAGGCTGATAATACTGCTAGTAAGCCATCGTCAAGTCTTGATGTAGCATCTATGAACACCAAGGATCTTCGGCAGAGTCCTTTAGCCAATGATGAACGAGGATCACTGGTCTCACTCACTGAAGAGGAACAAGAATCGGAGCTAGGAGAAATGAGAAGTCAGGTAAGAAGGAAGTTAATTCCAAGGATTTGGCATCGTAGCTTGATTTGCACGGTCTACAAAGCCCGTTGTGGGCAGAAGCAGTTTGCTTCTCAGAAGGCACTGTTTCTTTCCATAATTTCATTAGAAGGTGATCCTCAGCTTGATTGTCACCTTCCACTCTTGTGATCAATGGTAGGAGACTTTAGCAGTGTATTTAAGCCCTTCTAGGACCATCCAGCTAGGGCAGCATCAAACTGATCAGCTAGGGCAGCATCACACTGAAAATCTGAGGATCAAACTAGCTTACATGAAAGTCATCGATACTCTAAAGCTATAAGCTAGATTGAAAAGTAAAAAACAAACAAACGAATTTATAGTTAGAAAAAATGTAGAACTCTTAATGGAGCTCTACACACACACACACACACACACACACACAAATAAATAAAACATCCTAGAAAATGACAATGGCAAGCCATTTTGCTACCATCCAGGAAACTACATAAGCATTTCCACGAGGCTTACCAAAAGTTGAGTTCAACTCAAAGAAGACTTTAACGTCTAGATCCATTTGAGGTGGGAGGGGGGTTAGTATAGATTTTTTTCCCCATGGTTCATTTATGTTAAGCAAGCTGTTTACTTATAAATACCTTCCTCTTTAATACTCCAGGCATGCTGTAGTAGAACTAGTTGGCAAGACAGTTTCACATCATAGCTAGATCAAGAAAAGATTTAGATGTCGTTTTTGTTTTTAATTTTTGTGCTCTCAAGGAAGCTGGAGAGTTTGAACTCCAGTTGTAGGAATGCTGATGCCTTCTTCTTCTTCTCCTCCTCCTCCTCCTCCTCCTCCTCCTCCTCCTCCCCCCTATACCTCCCTCCCTCCCTACTCACGCTCCCTTCTAGCACTGATGATGTTACCTAGTTAGGTCATGAAACATCTATAAGAAAACGACCAAGCTCAGAAAGCACCAAGGACCCCTCATTTAAGCCCTGAGCTACAAATATTCTCCTCTATTTGTCTATTTGACCCATCTGAGAAGACTGAATTTAGTGTAACAATTCCGCATTTCACAGATTCTCCAAAGATCACAGCCCCACTCCTTTGGCTTCTGCACAAGTCCTGTTTCTCCTCCATTAACGAAATCCATGTCACTGATGACCATTGCCCAAGTGGGATCAGACAACAGTGAGTATTTGTGGCTTTTAATTTTTTCTTTGCACGTAGCATTCAGTGATGAGTGTATTAAGCACACCTTCTGTTTTCCCTCCAGCTTAGCTTTGCACCATTTTGAGATAAATATTTTGCAGAGAAGGCTGGTCCTGCACTGTATGAACTTCTGCTTTGCTCGGCCCAATACCAGTTACTCCAATAAAGACGCCCAAGTTCTTTTTTTTTTTTTCTATGAGTCCAACCTATGCATTTTTTAAAAATGTAGAATACCCTGGATTAAGCTGGAGACTTATATGCAAAGCATACTACTGAACTGCCATTCCTTTTCAATGCCTCTCCAAGAAATAAGATTAGTAGTGGAGTGGGGGAAGATAAAGTAAAGGTTTCCCCTGCCCAGCTGTTTCAGATTCTAGGGATGGTGCTCATCTCTGTTTCTTAGCGGAGGAAGCCAGCATTGTGTGAAAATGCATCTGGGGTCATGTGGCTGGCATGACTGTATGGCAAGGCGCAAGGAACGCTGTTACCTTCTCACCGAAGTATCAATTTATCCACTTGCATTTGCATGCTTTCAGGTTGCTAGAGCAGCGGTTCTCAACCTATGGGTCGGGACCCCATTGGGGGTCGATCGACCATTTCACGGGGGTCGCCAAGCAAGGCTGTCCGCCATTTTTTTCCCCTTTTCTGGCGGGTGCCTTACCTCCCTTGGGCTGGGCCAGCTGGTGGTCGGCCTGCTCCGTCTCTGCCGCTTGCCAGCTACGCCTCGGCCGGCGCAGGGGGCGGAACCACGCATGCGTGGCACTCCCGGGCAGGGAAAGTCCTCGACTTACGACCGGTTGGGTAGTCCTCGACTTACGACCAGTTTAGTCCTCGACTTACGACCGGTTTAGTCCTCGACTTACGACCGGTTGGGGGTCGCGGCATTAAAAAGGTTGAGAACCACTGAGCTAGAGCAAGTAGCAGGAGCTCACCCCGTCACGCGGTGCTCGGGTCTTGAACCCAGACTGTCAGCTTTCCAGCTGACAAGGTCGGCTTTTTAACTGCTGAGCTATCGCTGAGCCCCCCTCAGTAGTGGAAAGAATAAAAATAAACTGAACTTTTGGCCCAGCAGAGGCAACTAGTTTCCAGTAAAATGTGGAAACCATCCTTAAGGAAACCATCCTTAAGGTGCAGGCCTAAATAGCAAAACAAACTCCACCCCACTGTGACTAATGTTCTCTTGGAAAATGTCTCCTTGATTCTTTTACGTCTATCTGGAGCTTTGAGAGAGGTGAAGAACAAGCTATCTCTGCATCTGCCTCGTGTGTTTTTTTTTTTAAAGCGGAAACGACAGTGAGACATATTTTTATAGGATGATTGTGTGCCCTGGGGGAACGTCAGTAGGTTCTGACTTGCAGTTGTGAAAGTTGTGTCTCCGGTGCAGCTTCATTGTTCATCGGTTCTGCCAGTGGTGATGTGGTGTGGCTCAAACGAGCCTGGAACAGAACGATTGTATGCCAGGATTATTCTAGTCTTTTAAGGATTGTGTTTTTGTTTTATTCCAATTGGAAATCCAGATTTTATATAATAGAATAATGTAGAGTTTCCTGCTGGACTTTTGAGATGTACAGATTATTTTTAAAATTGTTTATTTTTTAATGCTGCATGCCATACAAAGTTTTTACACCGATAGATGACCTTCTAAATTGGACAAATAAATAAATAAGGCATCTGAACCCATTGGTGATCACACTGGTGATCATTACAGCTGGGAAGGAATAGTTAAAATTTAGGAGAAATGTAAGGAAATGAACTCTGTGCAAAATCATTTCACACAAAAGGTTGTCCAATTTCTTCTTAAAAGTCTCCAGTGATGGAGCACCCACAACTTCTAGAGGCAAGTCGTTCCACTGGTTAATTGTCTTCACTGTAAGGAAGTTTCTCCTTATTTCTAGGTTTCTTCTCTCCTTGATTAGTTTCCATCCATTGTTTCTTTTTTTGGCCTTCTGGTGCTTTGGAAAATCTCGAACCCTTCCTCTTTGTTGCAGCCTCTCAAACCCTGGAATATTTGCTATCATGTCACTCCCTAGTCCACATTTCATTTTATACACATTTTATTTTTGCCATAAAGGTGGAGACCCCAAAGCATTTTGCATATATAAGAAAAAACATTGGTTTTGTGTGTGTTTTTTTCCCTCTTGGAGAGAAGCCTCTTGGTTTGGGCGTTTGCCATTGAGAAAGTCTCTTCTAATAAGCAAACCTTTTTGGAAGATCTGGCTTAGCTTCTCAAGACTCGTGACTCATAAGGATGTTGACTCGTTTTTGCTTCTCCCTTAGCAATAGTAACCAAAACACTTGTCCATCCACTTCATTTTCTATAACCAGAATGTACCAATTTTCTTCCTTCTTCTGAAGGCCCTCATTAAGGGCACATCCGCACACAGGATGGGCTCACGTACGCAGCAAAGGACCAATTGGCATTCTCTGGTTTTTTTCCCCAAAGTGGCAAAGAAAACTAGCTTCCTTTGAGAAAGGGATTATTTTCTCTTAATTATAGGAAAACTCTTTGCAAATGCTTTCCTTCAATTCGCACTCTTTTCCAAAAGGACCTCCCTTTTATTTTTTTATATAAGATTTTATTGATTTTTTCTTACATACATATAATAATTTTTCAACCAACGTCCTGTCTGAGTTTGAAAACGCTAATACATATTTAATTCCTAATCCTTCATTCTTTCCTCTAGCCATTGATACAATAAGTCCCAAGTTGGGTAATATTCTGTTTCTTCTTTTTCTTTCAATCTCATAGTCAATCTGTCCATCACCATGCCTTAAAGTTTAATATGATATCTTTGTTTCTTTAAAGCATTGCTGATATTTTTTTTTTTTAATATGATCAGGTGCCAGAGTGGCATATGAGCTCTGCAGATAATACTACAGGGAAACAGAAATATTTTGCATCCTAAAAAGTATCCATTTGGCCAAACTATGCAGAGTAATATATATAGGATTTAAAAAAAAATTGTTTAGTAAGTAAGAATGACTTAGCCTGGCCTCTAAATGCTTATAGATGTGGCTAACGCCACCAGAGGCACTGTGTGCTTCTGTTCCAATTAAACTCAGGATACATTTAGGTGAATAGGACAATTGGTCTAGACCAGAAATAGAATACAATGGCATTTGTAGTTATCACTTTCCCCAGAAGTTTTCTCTTTGTTCATGCTACTGTATGCTTTCCTCAGCTGTCCTCAGCTGACTTTAAGATTTGGTCGTTTATTTTTGAAACTAAACTGAAAGATTGTACCGTATAAAATAAAACAATACATAAAATAAAATGAAGTTGTGGGTGCTCCGACACTGGAGGTTTTTAAGAAGAAATTGGACAACCATTTGTCTGAAATGGTATAGCGTTTCCTGCCTGAGCAGGGGTTGGACTAGATGACCTCCAAGGTCCCTACCAATTCTGCCCTTCTGTTATAATGGCTATAGTGTGGTCTTTACTTGCAAGATTGCCTTTGAAGCCCACATTGATATTATAGTTGTTCTTAGAAAAATAAACATGGTGAGTGTCTCTGTCCAAAGTGTTGTTTGGCAATGAGCTTCTTTTTTTCAGAAAAAAAGGACCAGTACAAACTGGGGGTCACACAAAGAATCCTGAGGGGCAGGAGATGGGAGAGTGAGTTGACCTTCTGATAAATGTGGCTTTGGGACTGCTTACAATCACCCAAGACAGTTATTCTATGAATAAAGCCATCATCCATAATCTCTAATTTGTAATATCACAGTTTTTACCTATTTCAACTTTAGATAGCCTTGCCTCCCTCCTTTATGCCACATTTGGAATGCAAGGTGCTATCTGAAATACACCCACTAGGAATTTAAATTAGACTCTTTTAAGAGGAGTAAAGGCAGTGTAAGTGTAAAAGTGCAAGCAGAATCCAGTTTGCTGGGAAGTCCCACAGAAATAATGGTGCCTCCCAACTTTATTTAAGAAAATTTATACGGCAGCCCGACTCACTCTTGGTGACACATATAAAAGTGAGTTCCTGCTGTTTCAGAGTTTGAGAAATACTGTTGTAAGAATCAAGTCTTGTCTTGATGTAGTTTACTGAGAAACTTTCCCCTCTGTAGACTTCATATTGATTGCTTACTTGAGATTGGTTTGGCTTTTCTTTCTTTCTTCCTTCTCAACCTTTTGGCTTCTGGTTAGTTGTAGCAAAATTGCTCTAAAGTGGTAAAAAAACTGCTGACCTCTATCCAGATCTTTTGGTCATGCTCCAGTACACAAGAGATTCCCTCAAATGTTTCTGTTCTTGCAGCTGTTTCATCATTATTTGGCTTTGGCACTTGTCTCTATTGCAGCACTTAAAATATTCTAACATTATTCTTCAGACTTTAAGAATAATAACCAAGTTGGAAGGGACCTTAGAGGTCTTCTAGTTCAACTCCCTGCTCAGGCATCAAACTCTATACCAGGGGTAGGCAACCTTGGCTCTTTTATGACTCGTGGACTTCAACTCCCAGAATTCCTGAGCCAGCCAGGAATTAGTTCTAGATTGTCATGATCTAGATGATGCAAGCAACTTTCAATTTTTTTTAAAAAAAAATCCATAAATGCAAAACAACTCTAGGAATAAAAGTAGCATCCGTTAAGGGAATATCTCTCCACCCTCAAATTCCCCGCAACTCCTGTAGCCTGTACATTTACCTAACCTTAGATCTTATGGGACAATCCAGCCTTTTAAAGAATGCTTCAAAAAGGACAAGGTGGGCACTGTGCAGATCACCAGGGAGACAGTGGAGAGGAGAGAAAGTTAAGCCCTGAAGATGTCCCACAAATCTGGGTCTTTTGGCTTCATCTATCCTTCCTGACCAATACTGGCTGGAACTAGCTGTAGAGAAAGGAGAAAAAGCACCATCTGCCAATTACATTACATAGCCCAGAAGATTACTGTCGTCAGCTGAATAGAAATCCACTGAGAAATTTAAGGAAGGCACTTTCCTGATTCCAGGTCGGCCAAAAGACATCTGAAAGTCCAATCAAAGTTGTCCTAATCTACAGTCTTAACTGAAGTGGGACCAAATAATCCACTTCCTCCAGGATTCTCTCCAACTGCAACCCAACCATCTTCTCAACTTTCTGTAAAGAGGGGAGATTGGAGACTGCGTGAAAATTATCCGGGATGGTAGGGTCCAGCAATGGCCTCTTGAGGAAGGGGAACACTCAGTGGGAGTTCAGGTTGAAACGTTTTCTCATAGAGATGAATGGATGATGTCCCTCTTGCATATTCTCTTTCAGCAACACATAGGCCTGTTAGGGCAGAGGTCCCCAACCTTTTGGGCACCAGGAACTTGTTCCGTGGAGAGAGGTTTTTCCGTGGACCGGAGGGTGTGTGGTTTTGTGTGCTGCCTGCATCTTGCAGTCGGGACTTTGCTTGTTTGTGCGGACCAGTTGCTGGCATGCCGCAGCCCAGTACTGGTCCATGGACCGGGGGTTTGGGACCCCTGTATTAGGGTATCTATTTGAACTGATGAGAAGGGCTATGGTATGGTCAGAGGCTGTTTTTAGGCTAGTACTAGATTACTAAAGAGAGACATCTCCAACTTACAGTGTAGTAATGATGGAAGCCTTGTGGGAAACTATCAAAATTCAATGTGCGGTTTTTGCATACAGTGACACTCCCATTTTCTTTTTCTCCCCTCCCCCCCTTTAAAAAATGCTTTCCTGCTTTTGCTGCTGTAGCCCTTTGCTTTGTAAATACGCCTTTTGCTTTCTTCTTTGGCTCGCTGTGACCGTTCTTCCTTTTTTTCTTTGTTATTTGTCTGTTGTTGGTGTCGAAACCGCATGCTCTAACCTCTGCCATTAACCCACTTTTCAGCACAGGGACGGATTCAGCCATCTAGACGAGTTTTCTTCTCCTTCAGCATCTCCCCGCTCATTCCTAAGTCTAAAACTGTCTTTTCTATTGACTCTTCTTCCAGCGATGAGGAGGAGAACTTGGAGAGTAAGTAATGTTGTTTGGGCAAAATGATGCTGGCGTCGCTTACCGCTCCGTGGAGAAGCTCAGAATCTCGCATGACTTTGTTGAACGCAAATGCTAGTGGCCAGGTCTTGGCTGGATGTCTTGTCTTCTTCGTTTGTCTTGACTGATGCTTGCAGATTCTAGCAAAAATGGCTTTTCAGCTTACTTTCCTGTTGATGAGTTTCTCTAAGGCTCCTTTTGTTCATGGGGCCCATGGGTCAGTAAGGGATGCTATGGTGTAGAACCAATGCGTAGGAATCAATGTTGCTGTCACAGGTTTGCTGTATCATATTTTATTTATTTATTTGCACGCAGGAAATCCCTCTTGGGCTCCACACTGACGTGATTCTACATACATGCTTGGGTTCAAAAATGTTACATTTTGCTATAGACCAACTTAATCCTTAGATTATGTCACATGAAGTAGTGAGGGATTTGCCATTGGGTGATTGTTTGAAAATTGTTCGAATATGGCATAATTTGAAGGACAGAAATGTCAATTTGTATGGTACATCATGAACATTAACCTAGACCTTTTAAGCAAATAGAACAGACTGTACATTAATTTCAAAGGGAGGCAGATAGTAATGTGGATTGTCTCTCTGTGTGCATCACAATGTAAATATGTTAATTGAACATCTACACTAGGAAACTTCTGTTTAGATTCAGACAGCTTAAAAGGGCCACATGAATCCTTTAGGCTGAATTTCTTACTAGAAAGTAACTAAAGCAACGCCTTAGACCAGGGGTCTTCAAACTTGGCCCTTTTATGACTTGTAGACTTCAACTCCCAGAATTCCTCAGCCAGCGTGCCTGGCTGAGGAATTCTGGGAGTTGAAGTCCACAAGTCATAAAAGGGCCAAGTTTGAATACTTCTGTCTTAGAACATGTTTCTTTTGTCCTTTGTAAAGATCTCAGTGTGGGTATAAAACTGACAAGACGATCCTACACACTTAAGTCCTGAGCATTGCTGGCTTCAGCTTGCACACCGACCCTAGTGATAATCATAAATCTTCCAGCTGCTAATTCAAGCGAGAGGGTGTAATGCATGCTTGTTCCTATTTGACAGCTTTCTCAAATCTATTTTGGCTGGGAAATGTGAAAGAAACTATTTAGATTTTCAACCATGTTTGTACCTGTTCTTTTTCACGGATTGCCTGAAATGACCAGAGAAACACCAACTTGGAAGACTCTGAAGTATGACTCTAGATGTGGCTTTGGTCCCATCAGCTGGTTCTCAAAATAACTTTCTTCATAAAAAGAGACGAAATCAACATAATTGCTCATTTATAATCTTAATAAAGAGTATGGCCTTTTAGATATCAACTATTCTCCTGCTAACGTGTGTTGGATGAATTCAGAATCAAATATTATCTGCCACTAGTGACATTTTCTCCACCCTGTCATACTAAAACATGTGTTTTAATAAAAATTACATACATATATGTTTGGATTTTGGTTTTTTTTTAACTGTAATTCTTTCTCCATGTATTTTCATAGGTACCCGATCCTTCAGCAGCTCCCTGACTCAAAGGTGAACTTTTTATTAATCTCTTAAACATACTCTAAATATAGTTTGTTCTTTTCTTGAATTCAGCAAGAATTTAAACAAGGAGGACTAGTGGTGGTGATGGTTTTTTTTAAAGGTTGATTTTACTGTAAAAAAAAGATTTTCCCCACTTATCAACTGATTGAACAATTAAATCCGCTTATCTTTGAATTATAGTTAAAAAGCTTAACTTATCAAATTTACTGGTTTTGGGCTGATAAAGGTCTAAAAGCTCTTAATGTAGAAAAGGAATGTTGCTGTGCAATCAAGATTGGAACTGTTCACAAAAGGAATTGATTGATTGATCAAGGGCCACTTTCAGTCTTTAAGAGGCATGTGAGAGACTATATTCTGAAAATTGGGTAAAATGGCTTTGACACGACTTAATTGTACTTAAAACTAAGTAGGTTTGTTCTGTAGGCATTAATTCCTTCCTATGATACATTCAACAATTCAACTCAATAGCGAGTTTCTTGAGAATACAGGGACTGAACCTACCTTTTTTTGGGGGGGGGGACATTTGTCTTGAAGCAAAATTTGGTCTTTTCTCTTTGAAATGGTCTCTATGTCCTTATCTGCAGCCAAGGCAGGTTCAAATGAAAGTGCCGTGTCTCCCACTTGAATCGGGTGAGCACCCTGTTTTTGTGCATTGCCTGAAATGTTTCATCTCTTGGCTTTTAGCATCAGCGAGGAGAGTGGCAGTTTTCCACCCCCAAGTCCCTGCAGAAAAGATTTGGAAGGCAAAAGTGGAACGAAAGTCAGCCGTACGTTCAGCTACCTCAGGAATAAAATGTCCAGCAGTAAGAAAAGCAAAGTAAGTAGATTCCAGACGGGTGCTTTGAGGATCAGGGATGTTGTCATTATGCCTGCCTTGGTGATTCTCAAACCCATCCTGGTTTAAACCCAGGGGTAAGGAGATGACCATCCAGGAAAGGAAGAGATTCTTGTGTAAAAATAACTAGGATTAAAATATAATTTTCCTTCCAACTGCAGCCATGACTTTATGCGAATGAAACGCGACTGAGAAATAGGGAACGTGGTAAAAAAAAAAAAAAAGGGCTATCATAGCTCCTCTCTCTTTTTGTTTTGTTTTCAGACAATTTTAAAGGAAATTGGATTATACTTTTAAACCTTCTATTAATTTACTCTAGTTCTCCCTAGGCTATCCCTCAAAAATATCTGGAATGGCTACAACAGCATTAACCTACGCGCATACAAGCAATTTTTAAGAATCAGATAAAGGGATTTAAAAATGTTACCTACTTAAAGCTTCATTCAGTGAAAGCAGCATGTCTGTGGTTTGCTGGTAAAGAAGCCAGGCTGGTTTAAACAGAAGGGTTATTGTCTGATGTTAGACGTGCATAAAATGGAAACCTAGATGAATCTCTTGTTCTAGAGTCTGATTATCATTCCCTGCAAATTATAGCAAATTGTTACATCAGGTATTAGCTAGAGAAAAAAAAAGACCTAGAAAATCTCAACATCCAACCAAGTTTATAAAAGATGAATAGATCCATTAAAATTCTTGGTCCTTAGCCAGTGAAAACTTTCTAGGCCATTACCATTTTGAAATACTCCCAAAGTGAGAGTTAGAAGCCACCACAATGTTGGTAACTGTCATCTTCTAATGCCAATATTGAAGTAGTGTCCTGGAGCAACATACACAAATAATATTTTGCTCGTGAAAGTCTTTTTATTACCTATATTCTGTCTTTTTTATGTCAAGTTCAGAACATGCTGTGAGATCTAATGCAAGCATGGGTTCTACCACTCGACTCCATCACTAGGGGTTTCAGTCACTTGTCTGAAATGGTATAGGTTCTCCTGCTTGAGCAGGGGGCTGGACTAAATTTTCTTATTGGGAAAATTTATTTTATTTTGGTTATTTTTTATATATATTTAAGATATTTTATATAGACAACCCTGGGCAGCTCCCAGTAAAATTCCACTCCATCAAATCTTTAATCCAGTCAGGTGGTTCCTTTACTTGATGGACTTACATGTCATTGTGGAACACCAGTTTTGAAGAAATCTGTTTTGATGTACTATCCTTTTTTTTCTCTTTTTGTATGGTTACAACACAGCTTGACAATTGTGCAACGGAAACTCACCGCTTGTGGGTACCCATTTAAATTTTATGAGTGTTTTGAAGTTCCTCTGTCTGTGGATAGATCAAATAGCCGGAATAGCAATTTTCTCCATTTCAAAGCATCTATTCCTACGCAGCTCTCATTTTTCTTGATTTGGGTAGATTATTTCTTTGGAGAGAACATTCAGTAAACCAGAACAAATAATATTCGGGGCACGGTCTTTTAGATGTACGGTTAAAAACAGTCTTCTTTCAGTTTTCTTCTCTGATGGCATGACTTTTCAACCACTTCAAGGATGAAGAGAAAGATGTAGACTATGGATGTCTACCCACCTTTTGGCTTCCATGGACTGCATGGAGTGAAGATGAATGGTCTTGGGCCCCATAATATAATATATAGTATAATATAGACACATAGACATAAACAATATCTACATATTTATTTATTTATTTATTTCATATGGCATAACAGAATACAGCATTAGTCATAGAATTTACAAAAATCAGCATATAAAATGTGTACCAAAATATAAAACACAAATACAGTGAATTCATTTAAAGACGTACAAGTGATGAATAAAATGATGAATAAAATTAAATTATGCATGAGCAGTTACTAGAGTGGCTAAGCTATGACAGGATATGTAGATCGCTTAGCCATTGGACAACAATGCCCTTGAGATGGATTTAGCCAGGGGTCTTCAAACTTGGCCCTTTTATGACTCATGGACTTCAACTCCCAGAATTCCTCAGCCAGGCACACTGGCTGAGGAATTCTGGGAGTTGAAGTCCATGAGTCATAAAAGGGCCGACCCCTGGATTTAGCTGTTGGACAGCAGTGCCCTTGAGATGATGATGTACATACTGGTGTGTCCAGATGTGCTGAGGCTCAATTCCCAAAACATCAACCCAGGATTTTGAACATTGCAAAGAGCCAATACAAAAATACTGTAGGAGCTGAGTTTGCGCCCCTGTGGACAGGGGGCCATTGAAACCATAGCTCATGTCTTGCTATTCTGCATCTTCTGTAAGGACTCGATTTATAACACTTTACCTAATAAAATATATGGGAAATATGACCTTTCTTACATGGAACTACTGTTATCAGATCGGTATGAAGTAGTTTCTCTGAATGTGGCCAAATTCTGCTATGCTGTGTGTAAAATTAGGCAAACTTTAATTGTCCGCTGTTAATCCTCCGTCAATCGCAACGTATTATTCTGTCTGTCTTTTATTTTTATTTTTTACTACTATTATTGTTTTAAGGATTTTATTTGCTGGCCTGTGACCGTAATAAAGATTGATAGAGCACTGGAGTGACTAACCCCAATATGCCTTGTCCCAATCTTGGTTTGGGGAGAACTTCATCCACCAGCTTCTGTTTTTGACTGACACCCCTCTCTTCCCTATTTCTGGATTCTGCTCTAGATTCAGAAGTTCTCTATTGTCAGTATTTTTGGATTAGGACGGAGTTTACCTTTCTCACCTGGAAAGGAGATTTTCACCTTAAACTGTTGCATACAAGTTTATCTCAGACGTGTGGAAGGGGTATTTAACTTTCTTCGTCTTCTCTTTTTTTTCCCATTTTTGTTTAAAAGAGATCGCAAAAAAAAAAAAAATCTTGAAAGAGGAAGCAAAACAGGAAGTCTCTAACCCTGCTAGTACTTCTGCCGCCTTAAAAACACAGCTATTTAAGTCTTATAAATGAATCTGTATCTCCTGGAAGACAAGCATATGAACCATCTCTTCTGCTTTAACATTTGACTCTTGGAAATGCCAATTAGCAGAGACAGAGAGAGAGAGAGAAAAATACTCAGCCTCTCCATGTGTTGCTTCCCAAGTGTCCCTAAGTCTTTTGGGCCACTTCAGTATCCCAAGAGAGCTTCAGCTTTGAATTTCCAGTGCCTGAAGGGTTAATGTGTTCTTTGAGGAAGCTCAGAAGAAGCAGCTCTTCCTTTTCTCCTCCCCTCTGCCTTCTCTCTTGCTCAACTTGTTTCTGACTTCCTTTTATGACAGCAGACTGAGCAGCTGAACAGGATCGGTGCTTGGGGTTTGTTTTATCTCTAATGTGATGGATGGATAGGTGTTGGGCAGATTCCCTTGCACGGACTGACGTTGGGCAGCATGTCCCTCAAATGGCATCGATTTTCTGACGTGCCCCATATAACAGTGAAACTGATCGGACGGTTCCACTCGGAGGTAAACTTCTATCTTGGCTTGGGCAGTGAGGATTAGTGGGGACAGCGCAGTGGTGGTCAGGAAAGGCCTGGTTGATTCGTCTGGATTGCATCAGTTGGTGTTCAGATGTTGGTGAGAAGTTTAAGCTAGACTAGCTCTCATCCTTGTTTCTCATTCCAGCTTGGCATATGCTGCTATGCTACCTTTCTCAGTTTGGAGAAGATTAATTTCTGTACATTTCTTATGTATAACAAATTGTTCATCCAAATTGTTATAGCCCTGTGGTTGTTTTTTTTCAGCCTTTATAGTTGTTTGTACTTTTCGCATCCGTGAAAATACCATTTCCTGTTTTCTGACTCGATCTGGTTAGGGTAGCTCTCTGTCTTTCTAGTCAAACGAATCAAATCAAAACAATTAGATGGTGTTTTTCTTCAAAACAGGACATTTTCTTCAAAATGTCGGTAGTAAATTCATTTCACTGGACAGGAGGACGGCTAAAGAACTAGAAATAACTTGTTGAGTGAACTCCGTTTTTTTGAGTGAGAGTCAAATGAAGCAGCCACATATTTTTATGCATTTAAACATCAAAAGGAAGCAATAGATTTAATATGCTTTGCATTCACACAGCCTTGTTCTCAGAGCACACTAATCTCCTTATATTAATAAACCTTGTCTTCTTGTTAAACTGCATTGATGATCGTTCTTATTTATTAGATTTTCAACTCATCTGTTTATCAGATCTTTAAGCGGTTGACAAAGATAGCATTTTGAAAACAGTAAAAATAATCAAAGAGCATAGAAAGGATTGTCAAAACACAGAAATACTAAAACCCTAGTCTAATGCAGATATTTGAAGTAAAGTAAAAGAAAATTCTGACTCATGGCCTTGCTTACTTTATTCCCTTTATATGGCTGCCCATCTCAGCAAGTGATTCTGGGTTGCGAGCAATCTTAAAATAAATGGAAAACACGTTAAAATACACAGCAGCTGAGAAAAATGTCACAGCCAATGGTTGTTAACACAACCTGGAGATGGGACACACTCAGGCCCCAGACTTCCCTGGTAAAAAAAGCTAAAGTTTTAAAGGGAAGGAAGAAGCAGGTGGAGCACAAGTTTCATAAGTGGGGGGACATTTTTCAAGAAGACATTCTCCTTCCTCACCTTAGAAAATGTTGAAGGAGAAATGGAATACATTTCCCGTTCGATGACAGTCTTAGAACCTTTTGTGCTTCTCAGTGTGTGCAAATGCACACCATTCCAAAACACGATGATTTTGTTCAACTAAAGAAACATCATTTCATTTCAACCTCATTTCAACCATGAGCTACAAATAATTCTCCTTTCTTGGTAAAGTAATATTGCATAAAGAAAAACTGTGCATTAAAATATGTGCCTTAGTGAACGTGAGGTACAAAAATGCACTATTTTAAGGGAAGGCTGCCTGCGTTGGCACATTTCTGGGGTAAAGTGATATGCAAAAATGTTTGGTTCAGAGGAATTGTGTGTAAAAATATTTTCATGCCACTTTAATGGAAAAGAAATGCCCAAGAAGAACAGGCCCAATCCAATTTAAGAATTGAAAGGGAAAAAAATGGAGAGAAGCAGAAACTGGAGGACATACTGTGTAACCTAAACAGTATTTCTGAAGATCATCTCAAGACCTGAAAAGCCTGGAAAGTTGATTTATCCCTGGATTGTTGAGAATATGGTATGTTTGTCATCAGAGGCCAATTGCAAATTACCTCAGATGGCAAATGAGGTGTCAGATGTCCACCATTTTATTTTTCATGCTCGTGTTCCAGGTCACATCCATTGAACTCTTATCTGGTGGCACCTAGGATCCGGTGGGTCTGCTTGCTCCCTGGAACAGTTTCCCCCTGATATTCACATGGCTTCCACCTTGAACCATGATCACTTAAAACTTGGATCTTCTGTTGAATGGGGGTAGACCTCTTATGGAATGATTAGAGTATTAGGGTTTTTTTTTTTTACTTTGTTTTTTCCAGGACTTTCTCAGCTACCTATATTGTGGTTATTTTTTGTTGTGATTTTTCTAAGCTGTCTGAGTATGACATGATCATTGTGAGTCCCAGAGTTGGAAATACAGGCCATGCTGTAAGACCCATGGTGATGCAATGGTTAGAGTGCAGTACTGCAAGCTAACTCTTCCCCACTGTCAGGAGTTCGATCCTGACCTGCTCAAAGTTGACTCAGCCTTCCATCCTTCCAAGGTCAGTAAAATGAGGACCCAGATTGTTGGGGGCAACAGGCTGACCCTGTAAACTGCTGAGGGCTGTAAAGCACTGTGAAGCGGTATATAAGTCTAAATGCTATTGCTAAGTGCTATGCTTAAGACTAGGGCTTTGTCTTGTAGCATTCTGACTTCCTATTCATTGCTTTTAATAAAAATGAAATAAATAAAAGAAATAATAAAAGAAAGAAATAATATTAGAAAAGACAGGGAGCTTGACAGGGACCAAGGAATCAAACTTTCTTTCTTCATTAGGCATGCAAATACTAAATTGTAATGTTTCAGTTCAAGATGTTGTGTGAACCCAGGGATTGACAGTGATATCAGCCATGGTTCAGGACGTAGCAATATGTGTAAATCTTGCCAGTTGTAGGTTAGTCAACAGGTCAATGACTTAGAACTGTGTATGAAGCAATTAAATTCACGGCTGACGTTTTTCCTTTTTCTTTCTTTTTTTTCTTAAAAAAAGGCGTTCTGTTTTGTGCTTGAGTCACCAAGCTGCGCATATTAATTTGGAAACCATTGGGCCATTGACTGTTTTCTCAAGCGTGCGTAAAGTCTCACTAGATGAAACGTGTTGCTCTAAGCTGTATGAGTTTTAGGTCCCGATTCGCATGTCAAAAACTGCTAATGACAATAAAAAAAACATGAGCACTGAGCTGTTTTCAATATTACGTTGATTTTACTGAGCTGAATTTCATTGTAGGGAAGGCAACTACACGTTAGGTGTCTGTCTGTGGGCATAACTTTCTGTCTGAAGGATAATGCCGAGGCGAATGTTTCTCAAAGTCTCCAAGATTATGAAGAACGATCTTCCCCGTAGTCTCAAAGACAGCTTGTAAGAGGGAGAAACAAGTTCTATTTTTGAGATATAAATTGTTTCTCCTTTGAATATCTCTCTTACTGAGAATTCTCTATCAAACCACTGCTTCGACTATGTCATTTCTAGAGAAGATGGTCTTCATTCAACCAAGCCTCTGTTGAGGGACTCTCGCATAATTGGTAGGGCTGCGAGTTTCAGTGGTTGCTAGCTAAGAAACCGTGCCAGATTCTCACCTGCCCCACTAAGTTATTTCCGGCCATTCTCAGCTTTTACTGCTACCAACCAGCTATCCTCACTTACTGTCTGCTTGAGTTGTTCTTCTGAGTAACTATGGCTTTGGAGGCAGGAGACTTGGGAATGCTGGGGGTGGGGAAATTGTGTGCAAGAGTGAAAATAGAGTAGATGTTAAAGCAGCCCAAGCCATGCTTATGTGGACTTGAAATGAAGCCCATGAAATTTCATGAGGTTTCTTTCTTGCTAAGCACGCTTCAAAGAAACATTGCAGCTGTAGACTGGTCAGTTGCAACACTGGTGACTATTCAGTGGTTGTTGTTTTTTTCATTTTAAATGCATACCATAAAAGTCAATAAGACTGCCCTGAGGGGCTACAGTCAAAGCTATAGGTATGTGCTCAGCCTCTGAAAGCCCTTGTCTTCTACAGAGAGAGGAGAGAGAGAGAGAGAGAGAGAGAGAGAGAGAAATCCTACATACCAAATACATACTTGTATTTGCATGTATTACCCAGGGGACTCAGAGCCTTTCCTCGTGAGCAGAATTGCAACAGCTGTCATCTCCATCTTCTTTCTACTCTTGCCATCTCCAACCATCCTCACATTAACTGTCTGACTGCTGTTTTCACCATGTAGTAAACAAAAAAAAAATGTAGAAAGCCGGTTTGGCTTAGCGGATAAAGGCAACAGGCTAGAAACCAGGAGACCATGAGTTCTGGTCTCAGCTTTTTTTTTGGGGGGGGAGGAGGGGGTTGGGGGGGAATTAGACATCCTAGGTCGGTCCTAGGAAGAAGCAGGCAAGGACAAATCTCTTGTGAAAGCAAGGAAACAGCTGGGACTGACTTAAAGGACTCCTCCTCCTCAAGAATATAGGAAGTAGTGTTGGTGATTGTTACAGAAGGCAGTTGTTTTATGAAGGTGACTGCGGTAACTGATCATTTTTGTAATCCCCATGCAAATAGGAGGGGGATCCTGAATAGAATAGAATAGAATAGAATAGAATAGAATAGAATAGAATAGAATAGAATAGAATAGAATAGAATAGAAGAATGGGAATATAGAATAGAATAGAGTAGAGTAGAGTAGAGTAGAGTAGAATTAGAATTAGAATTAGAATTAGAATTAGAATTAGAATTAGAATTAGAATTAGATTTTAGAATTGAATAGAAGCAAAGTCAAGGGGGGAAGCCAGATTCAGTTAACAACTGTGTTACTAACTTCACAACTGCAGTGATTCACTTAACTGCAAGAAAGGTTGTAAAATGGGGCAAAATTCGTTTAACCATTATCCCACTTAGCAAGAGAAATTGTGGCCGTAAGTCTAGGACTACCTGTATTATCACACTATTTCATTCTTTTTAGGAAACTTTCTTTGCAGTAAGCTTGTTTTAAATAAGGAAGATAGTTTTTGTTTTTTGTTTTTTTTTACTTTCTTGTTTGAAAGGGTAATTTAGAGGAATTGGGGGAGCTACTTTGTCTCGGATGCTATAGTTTCAAGCGTAGGCAGGAGAAGAGTCCAAATAGGCTTTCTTCTTCCGGACTCTTAACCTCAAAGGTTTAACCCACATGGCTGTAGAGCCCAATTCTCAAAACAGAATAGAATAATCTCTTCTGGAAGTACATAAATAAGTTTGGTGATAGAACACATGGTCTGAACGCGCAGGTTCTTTCCCAAAGGTTGGGAAAGTTCCCACCTGAAACCCTGGATATCTGCTGCCACATAATTCCGAGCTACAGTTCTGACTCAGGATAAGATAATTTATGATGTTCCTACATCTTGATGGCGTAGGTCACGAGGACTGATTCAAAGCTATGCGAGCGTTGCCCTAGGTGTCTGCAGCCAATGACTCACCGTTGACTTGGGGAACATGAAGGTGCAGGATAGCTGCCTGCATCTTCGGCACATGGAACTCATTTCTTGATGATGTTGTCCTTGAATACATTCTACCTTGCACATGAAGGAACGTCATTTTAGATAGATAGATAGATAGATAGATAGATAGATAGATAGATAGATAGATAGATAGATAGATAGATAGATAGATAGATAGATGGATGGATAATAGATAGATAGATAGATAATAGATAGATAGATAGATAGATAGATAGATAGATAGATAATAGATAGATGGATGGATGGATAGATAATAGATAGATGGATGGATGGATGGATGGATGGATGGATAATAGATAGATAGATAGATAGATAATAGATAGATAGATAGATAGATAGATAGATAGATGGATGGATGGATGGATGGATGGATGGATGGATGGATGGATGGATGGATGATAGATAGATAGATAGATAGATAGATAGATAGATAGAGCATTTTATGCTATCAATGTCCTCCTTCCACTTCTTCTTCTTCTTCTTTTTTAGGAGAAAGAGAAAGATAAAGAGAAATTGAAGGAACGGGACAAAGAGTCCAAGGAAAAAGACAAAGATAACAAGATACTAAATGGCCATCTCTTCAGTGCCATCTCAACTGTGGGCCCCATCAGTTGTTACCACTGTCTCAAGCCCTTCAACAAGGATTCACTCGTCTGTGCAAGTGAGTGACTTTTTTTTCCTGTTTTGCACACCAGAATGAATAGCTAATAGAAGATATTTCTGATAAATGTTTTTATACTTCCATTCAAGGTCTAGTAAAATACACTTGACATTATTATTATTGTTGTTGATGATGATGATGATGTTGCCACTAGTATGTTTCTCTCTTTGATTTCTGGGGTAAATCAGTGTATGCAGGAAGGATGGAGGAAGTTCCTTATACAATTCTGTTAAAGAATTCTGACCTTTCCTGGTTATTACAGAAGTTTTTCTTTTCAATTCTTAAACAGAGTCTCTCTATATTCTGTTTAAGCAATGATGTGTCTCTATGTGAGTTGCGTTCCTGGATAATGTCTCAATGTAGTATTTCCCCTCCATATGTGCCACTTCAGGTTTAGAAAACTGAAACCGGATCATGTTGCCTTCAAGGAGAAATTCCTGCTTTGGGAACCTGAACTTGCCACTTAACTAGTATTGACTAAGGGAAAACAAGAGTGAGCGTTAAAGGTCAACTCATCACAGGTTTTCTGGTTGCCCAACCACACAACTGTAGGAAGAGTCCAGAGTAGTTTGCTTTCCTCTGGGCAGGAGGTCCTCCCTTGATGAGGTGGGATAGCAACGCAATGTCACAAGTTGAAATGGTGGTTAAGATGCCTGTAGACAAATTGGTGCAAAGCTGGGAAGATTCCGTTGAAGAGATCAGCTAATGGTTAGGATTCGAATGGGTACGCTACAGATCCCATCAGCCAAAGAGTGTTGACTGGCAAGGAAGACAGAAGACAGGCTTTTTCCACGGTGGCCCCTGCTCTGTAGAACAGCTTCCCTTAGGACAGGGGTAGGCAACCTTGGCTCTTTTATGACTCGTGGACTTCAACTCCCAGAATTCCTGAGCCAGCATGGCTCAGCTTGGAAACCTCTCCCTTTCCCCTCAGCATGGCTGGCTCAGGAATTCTGGGAGTTGAACTCCACCAGTCATAAAAGAGCCAAGGTTGCCTACCCCTGCCTTAGGAGATTAGAACGACCCCAACCCAGTTAGTCTTTCATAAGGCCTTGAAAACCTGATTGTGTTCTCATGCCTGGGGGGGCTGAATGTGTCAAGGGCCCAGTTTCCTGGACATATTGCTATCTGGCTAAATGTCTCAACTGCTAAGTGTATTTAGTTTGGATGTTTCTGTTGGGTTTTTTTTATTGTTTTGAAATGTTTTAGCATTTTAATTGTAATATATTATTACAGTACAATTACCCTGCGGTAAGATGGGAGGCCAGTACATTGGATAAGTAAATGAAATATTTTTTGAACTGTGCATTGGCCAGAATCATTGGCTGAGATGGGCGGCTGCAGAAATCAGATAGATAGATAGATAGATAGATAGATAGATAGATAGATAGATAGATAGATAGATAGATAGATAGATAGATAGATAGATAGACAGATAGACAGATAGACAGACAGATAGACAGATAGACAGATAGAGATAGATAGATAGATAGATAGATAGATAGATAGATAGATAGATAGATAGATAGATAGATAGATAGAGTCTGGGGGGGAAGTAAGTTGTAGTAGCTGTCTTTATCGCTATTTCCATCAGAGGAAGTTGCAGTTATAAATGATGAGATGCACTGAATGGGAATATGAACCCTGCGTGATGGCTGACTTTCTCATTGGCTACACATTAAAGGTGTGCTCTTTGTTTTCCCCAGATTGTGGTGCCATGGTCCATAAAGGCTGCAAAGAGAGTGTGGCTGCTTGTGCCAAGGTCAAAATGAAAGTAAGTATTCTTCTGGGTTTTTTCCCCCTCAATATATTCACATGCATAGATCTGTGTGTATATCTGAAAATATGCGATTGTAACTTGGCAAGGGGGGAAAGCCCCTCCAATTTTCACATATGCAGGCTCATTAGGGCTCTGAAATATCACCAGCTCGTTGTTGTTTTCTTTAAAATAAATTTCTAGCCTTCTTGGTTGCAGGGAAAAAAACACAACCAAGCAAGCTTCTGTTTCACTGTGGCTAGGACTTCTAATAGTCCAAGGTTAGTGTCAGGAATCCTGTATCTTATTCCATCTCAGGATGCAATAATAATCCTATTATTGCTATTTTATTTGTGATATCATTCTATCCAAATCCACTTCATAACTGCTGTGTGGTTCATTGTGATTATGGCGCAAGGAGGAGAAGGAAGATACGTAAATTTATTTTCATTTATTTCATTTGTGCCTCTGAGCTCTTTACTCGCTCCCTCTGTTGCAACCAGTTACCTGAACTGCCCATGATTTATTTGCAATAAATCTGTCGTAAGCTTGATTTGCTCAGGCCCGCTTATGTAACTGCTAGTATCAGTAAATCTGATGTTGTATTCTATATCCTGACAACAAAACACTCTTGAAGAGCTGTAGTATTTTGAAGTCCACGTAGGAGATGCATTTAACAACCACCTGACATTCCTAGTATGTTGAAGGGTAGAAACATTTAGATAGCAGAAATATGGATAGTTTAATCTAGGGCCACTTAAAACAATTTCCTATCTGTATGGAGATTGTACGATTGTGTGAGGGCTTCAATTTTTTGACCCCTCAACTATTTCAAAGGATTTTTCTTCTAAGTGGGATTGAGATACAAAATACTCGATATGCATGTTTTGAATTCTCATACATGAGTCTGATAGGCTTTATCTTGATGTTTGTGGCATGAAACACTCATTGTGATTCATAAACCATGGTTGTTGATATCTTAATTTGTTACATAAACCCAGCCAAACCACTCTGAAACCTTAGCTTAGCATGATGTGTGAATGGAATTTATATTATAACAATGTTATTCTAATCTTTTTTTTTTTTACTTCAGCTCCAGAAAAACCCAACCGGTCTTCAGCCTCATGATACTTCTTCATTGCCCACAGTAATTATGAGAAATAAGAGTGAGTATCTATTTTTTAATTTCTTGGTGCAAGTTTCCCAAACCTTGCAATTTTGTTCTGTATCCAGCTAGTCTTTATAATCATGCTCTGTTAAATTCAGATGTTTCAAAACAACTGGGAAAAAAGGGGGCATGTTTGTTAATTAAGAAAACTTTGACTTTTCAGACAAACTCCAAATGATGACGATAAAGATGTTACCCATTCCGTCGTGTCTTGACTTTTGGTGATTCCATAGGCCAGGTCTCTCCACATCTTCCAATCTTGCCCTACTTCTTTGAGTTGTGCTATGCTCTGGCTGGCGTCAGCTTTGATGGCGATATTCCAAATCCTGAATTGAACCTGATCACTGTATCTGTTGGTGTTTTCCCTGCAGGTTCTCAGCCAAAAGAGAGACCCAGATCAGCGATTCTTGCTCCTGATGAGAACATTACAACTTCAGTGTTCAATAGTAGGCGATCCCAACAGAACTTGTCCCTTTCAAAGAGCGTTTCCATTCAGAACATTGCTGGGTAAGAACTTGTGTGTTTGCTGGCTTGCTTTTGGGAGGGGGGGGGTTTAACACATGTGTGATTGGTGATGCTAAAGATTGAACAAGTGAAGCCTGTGGGAAGAAGATCCCAGATTTAGGGTTTACCTTTTCCACTTGAAAGATCTTGGATGAGAGGATTTGAGCAAGAGATGTTATTGGTCTTGCTCAACGTACGAAAGACCCCTTCCTCTTGTTCGTTGCACAAATGGCATAGTGTTCCTCATGGTTCATCATGTATGTGTCTGTATGCATATATGACTATGTATCTTTATATTGACATTACACTGCATTTTTAAATCTTTGTTAACTGCCCAGAATCACGTTAGTGAGATTGGTGGCTGTATCAATTGATTTAATTTAAAATGTCTAAATTTCTAAATTAATAAGAAAGAAAGAAAGAAAGAAAGAAAGAAAGAAAGAAAGAAAGAAAGAAAGAAAGAAAGATGAGGGAGGAATGAAGGAAGGAAGGAAGGAAAGAAAGAAAGAAAGAATGAAAGAAAGAAAGAAGAAAGAGAAAGGAAGGAAGGAAGAAAGAAAGTTTGTTGTGCCAGATATCATTAACGCATCAGACACAAATTATGTAATCATAACATTTTCCAAATTATAACTTGGTGTCTCCTTTTGATGTTGAATGTGGCTTGGGGTGGACACCCCACCTTCTCAGTAGGTGACTCTGTTTTCCCCATTTCTTCTCCTGCCAGTGTCGGAAATGACGAAAGTATCCTTCACACGCGGAAATTTCTCTCCCAATCAACGGACTCCTTGAATAAAATCAGCCGGGTAAACGAATCCATGGAGTCATTAACAGATGAAGGTAAGTGACCATGTTGGGAAATAACAGGCTTGAATATAGGAGAAAAGCTGAGGGATATCGGGAGAGAAAAGAATGCTTTCACACATGCTAAATTCTCTGTACATGAAGAGATCTACCGTAGATCTCTTTCCATATAACTAAAATATGGGACAAACCAATAATTGCTAATTCTCCAACATGATACTGAGAGCCAGACTCTGACATTTAGTATCCTTCACCAATAGCATGTTAGTTGGGAACTGCTTGGAGTTGACATCCAGCAATGTTGGAAGGGCTGCATGTTACCATGTGGTAGTAGCAGGCTATTTGCAGTTTCTGAGATATTTTTGATGTATGGCAGTGTATTTCTTTGTAGAGTTTTTGTTGGTTGTGCTGTATTGGGTTGAGTGGTCAAGAACTTTTTGATGAAGTTGCATGGGTATCCATTTTGTTGGAATGTGTTGTATAGATGCTCCATTTCCTTTTCCTGCTGTTCTGGGTTGCTGCAATATGTTTGGGCTGCTTAGCAATAAGTCTATTGTTTTAGCATAGAGAATAAAATACAGCACAGTAAAACAAACAAATGAAATGTAACAAAACGAAAACATACATTCAACCCTAGCTGATAAATATTTTGAAGTCCAGGATGTGGGATTTGGAGGGCAAGGGAACAATTCCTCTGAGGTCTGTCGTCAGGACAGTTGTATAAATTGCTTCCGCAGCTTGATTGTGCCAGCTTCATCAAAATCCTCTTCTGATATTCTGTTAATTTACCCAAGTTAAACAAAGGCAGACAAATTACCTCTTAATGACAATGCAATTACATTAATGGCTCACTCTGGGAGATTTGCACAGTAATTGTGGAATTGCTCAGCATTCATTACTAAGTTACTTTTGAAAAGGTTGTGTTGTCGCTGCTGTTTTAACACTGTGGGGTCGCAGGGGTTGGACCAAATTCTTCTGGGTGTATGAAAAGAGATTCCTAGGTTTGCTATGGATGAAACCTAAACCATGTGATAACTTCATGATGATTGTAGCCTTAGCAAACTGTAGCATTCTCACAAGCTCCCAGTTCTGCGCAGGCAGACTTTTTTTTTGTACTCAGTCAATATGGGAAAAAGTTTTTTATTCTGTTCAGTTTGACTCTTTTTTTCTGCAAATTATTACCCCAAAGGGAGTGACGTTTCTTAAGGCATAAAGTGAGTACAAAGTAATATCCATAAGTGAATTTGATACAATTAGAAATCTACTAGCTTAAATATGATATAGCAAACGTTAAGGGAAACAGAGAAGAAATATTTGATGATGTAACCTGAGATATGTACTAAAGATTTTGTTATTGAACTATTGATTAACCCAATCGCCACGTTGCCTTCCAAATACTCAAATGTAAAACTGGAAAACCAATAAAATATGATATTAAAAAAATCAAAATATATTATAATCAACAGCTGTAGAGTAGAATTCCTTTCCTCTGTTGAGCTCAGTAGCTAAATTCCATTGGCTATTCCTCTGATCTCATTACTAGAATGAAGATCCTACCCCATTTTGGGTTGTTTCTAAATCCTAGAGAAATATTACATGCCTGAAGGAAATCAAAATAATCTGCAGACTAGTATTTTGAGACATTTATGGGACTGATAGATTTTGAGACCCGGAGGCATCAAGGCTCTTGACTTTTGATCATCATCAAAAGACTCACCAGTGACCAAAGTGCAGGGTCATTAACTGGCATTAAAGTATCCTGTATAGAAGCTAAACCTAGGCACAATAATCAGATCGCCTCTCCCTCTTTTCAGGGGCAGATATGAATGAAGGGCAACTCATGGGAGACTTTGAAACAGACTTGAAACATCTGGAAGCTCAGTCTTGGAGTCAAGTGGTGGACAGCAAGTTTCTCAAACAGCAGAAGAAAGACATTGTGAAGCGGCAAGATGTCATTTATGGTGAGTGGCAGACAAGTTACAATCTCCTGGTTTAAGTTCAGCAATACAGAGGCAAATCAGGTTGCTTTGTCATATTTGTATTTTTAACCACACCATAGCTTGGTTTGTTTGATTTGGCATAAACATATGCTTGAAGCCAGTCATGGTTTATGCAATGCAAGGTTTATGGCTTAAAGTTATTCATGAACCAAGTCATTGCAACTTGCTCAACAAACCATGTAAGATCTTAGCTCGCTCTCTCTCTCTTTTATTTTTTTTTACATTTGGGAACAGGCCAGTGGACATAGAACTGACCTATGAGAATATGAAAGTCCTTTCAAACAGATCCCACTTGCATGAATGGGTTCTGATTTTTTGCCAGCATTGCCACAATTATTCTTTCTTAAAATAACTCTTTTGAGTGTTTTATACAACCACTTTTTCTACCCTGTATTTTGTTCTCTGCTGTTTTATTTTATGGTATGTCATCTGTATTCCTATTTTACCGTTATTTATTTAGCGTATGGCATTTACAGAGATCATGCAATCACTGATATACAAATTTAGTTTAAATAAAGCATCAAATTAGATAGATAGAGAGACAGAGAGATAGAGAGATAGATAGAAGGTAAATGATAGATGGATGGATGGATGGATGGATGGATGGATGGATAGATAGATAGTTCGATAGATAGATAGATAGATAGATAGATAGATAGATAGATAGATAGATAGATAGATAGATAGATAGATAGATAGATANGGGCGGACGGACGGACGGACGGACAGACAGACAGACAGACAGACAGACAGACAGACAGACAGACAGACAGACAGATAGATAGATAGATAGATAGATAGATAGGAGATAAATGACAGATGGATAGATAGTAGATAGATAGATGATAGATAGATAAAGATGATAGATAGACAGAGAATACAATACAATACAGTACAGTACAGTACAATACAATACAATACAGTACAGGAGATAATATATTCAAGTAAGATAAAACCATAATCAAATCACCATAATATAGAGCCATAGAATTGCAAATGGGATAGATGTTATAATTCAGTATCTAAGGAAGCTAACCGTCTAACTGCTTCTGGTTGGCTACGGTGAGATCATCCCAAGTACCTTCAAATTTTTGAGGAGACATTCTTGAACTATATAATGTGCTATATAGTTTGTTCTGGTGCACTACAGTCGCATTGATAGCTTTATGCCATTCCCCACGTAGGGGAATCCGGTAAGGAGAAGGGCGGGATACAAATCAAATCAAATCAAATCAAATCAAATCAAATCAAATCAAATCAATCAAATAAATAAAAAAATAAATAAATAAATAAATAAATAAATAAATAAATAAATAAATAAATAAATATTTACATTCTCTTTGGTTCATATTGCCAGTGAGTTGTTGCATCTGATGAGGTAGATACAGTTAAGTAGTCATCCAAGCACTTCTTGAATAACCCAGCTATGGAAGCCTTATTGACTTCTAAATCAAAGCCAAGGAAAGCCGTAACCGTGTTTTCCCATGCATTGGCATAGCCTTATGCATCTCTCTGATTCTCCCTTCCATGCTCCTTTTTTCCAGAACTGATGCAGACAGAGATGCACCATGTCCGGACCTTGAAGATCATGAGTGATGTCTACAGCAGAGGCATGGTGCAGGAACTACAATATGAGCAGCAGATGGTGGAGAAAATCTTTCCTTGCTTGGACAACTTGCTGAACATCCACAGCCAGTTCTTTCAGAGAATTCTGGAGAGGAGAAAGGAATCCCTGGCTGACCGAAGTGAGAAGAACTTTGTCATCAAGAGGATAGGGGACATCCTAGTGAATCAAGTAAGTTGTGATAAGCCTTGCCAGGGAAATCATTCCAATTTAACTTTGTAGCTTATTTGGGTTCAGTTAAGACCTCAAGAAGAATTTAAACGGCCCACACACGAAAGATCCATTTTGCGTTGGCAAAAGCATCCCAACTAGAACCTCTTTCCCCAGATGTCCATGGCTTCAACCTCTCCCAGAAGATGGCTGTGATAGCTCAAGCAATCTTGGTTGGTTTTCCTCATTCCACTGATTTCCTCATTCTGATTTATCTCTTGCAACTTGCAGTTTTCCGGAGAGAACGCCGAGCGAATGAAGAAAACGTACGGGAAGTTTTGTGGGCATCACAATGAGGCAGTGAATTATTTCAAAGACCTTCATTCCAAGGATAAAAGATTTCAGGCGTTCATCAAAGTAAGCTGGCAGGGGCATCAAGATTTGCCTTTGGTTTAAGATCCATGTATGGCTGGAAGAAATGACTAAAATACAGAATAGAATTTAAGCCAGAACTGTTTTTGTTAGGAATATTGGGACTTAATTATGGAAAAAGAGAATGAATATTCTTGAATAGTCACTACTTGTGTTTGTCTAGCTCAGGGGTCTTCAAACTTGGCGACTTTAAGACTTGTGGACTTCTACTCCCAGAATTCCCTCAGGGCTGGCTGAGGAATTCTGGGAGTTGAAGTCCACAAGTCTTAAAGTTGCCAAGTTTGAAAACCCCTGGTCTAGCTGAAATTATTAAGCATTCTTTTTTTTTTTTTTTTTTTTTTTTTTT